CGTGTGCGACGTGGGTGCGTGACGCGCGCGTGTGTGCGACATGTGTGCGTGTGCGCGACGTGTGTGCGTGAGCGCGTGTGTGCGACGTGAATGCGTGAGCGCGTATGTGCGACGTGTGTGCGTGAGCGCGTGTGTGCGTGTATGTGTGAGCGCGTGTGTGCGACGTGGGTGCGTGAGCGCGTATGTGCGACGTGTGTGCGTGTGTACGTGAGCGCGTGTGTGCGTGAGCGCGTGTGTGCGACGTGAATGTGTGAGCGCGTATGTGCGACGTGTGTGCGTGAGCGCGTGTGTGCGACGTGGGTGCGTGAGTGCGTATGTGCGACGTGTGTGCGTGAGCACGTGTGTGCGTGAGCGCGTGTGTGCATGAGCGCGTGTGTGCGTGAGAGTGTGTGTGCGTGAGTACATGTGTGTGACGTGTGTGCGTGAGCGCGTGTGTGCGTGAGCACGTGTGTGCGATGTGTGTGCGTGAGCGCGTGTGTGCGACGTGTGTGCGTGAGCGCGTGTGTGCGACGTGTGCGTGAGCGCGTGTGTGCGTGAGCGCATGTGTGCGACGTGTGTGCGTGCGTATACGCGTGTCAGTGATACGTGTTCTTGTGTTGCACGTGGGCGTTGTAAACTCGCGCATGTGTGTGTGTGTGTGTGTGTGTGTGTGTGTGTGTGTGTGTGTGAGTGTGTGTGTGTGTGTGTGTGTGTGTGTGTGTGTGTGTGTGTGTGCGTGCGCGTGCGCGTGCGTGCGTTCATGCGTTCCTTCTCATGTAATAGCACAATGTAGAGTGTCGGGGGACCCGTCTATATAGCGTTGGTATCAACATGGCAACCTCCATCATCGAAGACCTGTTCCACTAATACAGTGTTATAGTCACACTCACAGTCACTCTGGCTGTTTTAATAATAAAATGATTGTAAATAAACAAACCTCTCAATACAACAATACACAATATATACACAATATAAACAATACACACTACCCTCAGAAAGCATCTCGGAGCATTCGTGAGATCAACAATTTTCCCGCGCAACCACTATCGACATCATGCTTTTAAGGGCTAGTTATAAACCAGAAGGGCTAGTACAAACCTTACCTTACTAGAACTTCGGGCTAACTTGCATATTGTCCTTATTTCTACCCCTGCGTGTCCCATGACAGCTAGATCACACATTCGCAGCTCCTTCTCGATGGTCCTTCTCCAGGTTTCCTTGAGTCTTCCCCTCCTTCTCCTCCCATCTGGCATCCATCTAAGGTGCACAGGGGCATAGCGTACTAATTTTATCTGGGGGGGGGGGCAAGGCCACGTGCACGTTGTGTTCTGGGATGCTGACCGCCATTGATCAAGTATATGGTATCTAGATTTCTCTCAGGGGGAGGCAACTACCTCCCTTGCCCACCCCCGCTAGTTATGACCCAGGTACGTGCCTCCTCCCAGGCAAAATGAGTTAGCTACCCTCCTGTAAATGTGGTAAAAATGGCTTTAATGTAAACACTACCAATACCATACATTCGCGCACGCACAAACACGCACACACATACCAGATACACGCACCCACACCCAATAGAGTTATATAATATATGAGAACCTTAGGTTAGGGTTGAGTTAAGGGTTTTTAAGTTTAGGACGTTTTTTCACCTTTGTAACTTTGCGATGTTCCTGTCGACGGCTTACAAGTAAAAAGTTAACGGTAAGACTACTGTTAAGACTACTTTTGTTGCTGACACAGAGACCCAGGGACACACAGAGAGCTATTTCATTCTGGTATGCTTAATCTTGTTAGGGCAACACTCTGCCCCAGAGTTCACTAATATAGAGTTCTACAAACACGTGCACCGTTCAAATTCCACCACGGCAGCGACAACAACCCCTGGGGGCACTCCGTATATATTGCATGGTAGGTATGTGCCGCGGGAGAGACCCCCCTTTTTCACCCTAAACTTCCGTTCCAGTGCATCGCATTTTTAATAATATATCGTTCCAGAGCATCACAAGTTTACATTTTCGAACATAGCCAGTTCCAGAGCATTCCACATTCAACAAACATTAGTTCCAGAGACCCCCATTTTCAGGTCTGCGTTAGTTTCAGAGCCCCTCATGTTTGACTTCGCAGTGGCACATACCTACTATAATGTGGGGTGAGTGCCCCCCCCCCAGGAAACAACCACCACGGGTCACCTGCAGTTATTCACAAAAATTTGCCGATATCTACAGTAATAAACACATGGCTGTGTTTCCTTCCCATGAACTCAATATAGGATATGTTTCCCTTCTTGTATCTCACGTTAAAACTTATACGTTTAAAAGTAGGTGTCTCTGATAATGTGTCTTTCAAAGACGTATTTGCGTGAGTATTCCCTTCAAATTTACTCCGCAGTCCCTTAAAATCTGATTAACCTGCAGCCAACACTTGCCTTGCCCCAAATAATAATTTCAATAATTAATTTTCATTTCGATCCCTGTAGTTCGACCCACTCATAGGGTCCGACGATATATGAAAGAAGGGGGAGGGGGGAATGCTGCAGTGTCAGATCAGGGAAAACCCTTTGGGTTGCGAAGTGGCATCAAAATCAACTGTTTACACATGTATCAAGTTATCCCCACTGTTTGCAGAGCAGGTACCAGGTACTCATCTCTATTTGTTTATTCACGTATTTTACAGCAGCAAGCAAAGTGCAAAGTAAACACATTACAGGATGACTCGTCGCCCGCAGCCGTGGTTGAGCCGGAAGTACTCATCGTGGGAGCCGGTGTCGTCGGTAAACACTTAATCATACGTGAATAGTTCCGCTACTAGAAGATGCTAATGGGTCTACGTCTGATCAATAGATAGATCGATAGACATTTATTGATTTCGTTGCACCATTTTGATCTCTGCCCTGACTATGCACCTCTCCCCCTCTCTCTTTCCTCTCTCTGACCTCCTCTCTCCCTCTCTCTCCTTCTCTCTCTCTCTCTCTCTCTCTCTCTCTCT